AGGATAGACCCATCTATCACCCGGAGAACGCGGCGGATACCGGATACCGGGCAGGCATGTCTCGAAGTGTATCGATAATTCATCGCGCGCCGCGAGATACTCAAGATGAATTTCGTGTTTCGCGCCCGATAATCCATCATACGAACGGAATTCGATAAACCGGCCTATCAGCCAGCTAGGTGATAAACTTTGCTACCCGTGATCGCTTCGTTCCCGATTTACTACGAAATTAGCTGGTCACTTGAAAAAAAAATTTAACTCTCCGTTCATCTAAATGCACGATTCAGAGATTTCAAAAGATTCATCTGTAATACGAGAATTGATAACGCTGTTAAACGATTAAATTGCACGGAAGTAATAGTCATCGCAATATTCGTTCTTCAATTAAATCGCGAATGGGTTTGTATTCGGCATCGTTGCGTTTAGTTACCCACGCAAATTGTAGCAAACGGGACAGGTTTGTAAATAATTAGAACACAGGTGTATATCGAGCGGCGCAGTTCGATACAGAGGGAGGCTTGCTTAAATAATTATATTCCCACGAATCCCATTAGTACTTATGCTCTCGCGTGTTACCGTTCCCGGAATTATCGAAGGAACCATTGGTGGCTGGAACTGTTGCTTACTTTCACGCAATGAGCTTTAAGGAAAACGCCGAGAGGTCTCTTATTTGAATGGCAACTTCCTTCTTAAGGATGTATTGGCTATACAGTCAATCCCAAAAGTTTATGTACTTCAGAAAAACGCATTTCCCATAATTAAAAAGAAATCAGACGTCGGAAGAATAATGCTACTAATAAATCGCTACATGCTAAAAAGTATAGAAGAAAATATATTAATTATTGACGATAGTGAAGAAGTTTTATATAGAGATTGTAGATCACGTCGTCCTCTACAAGAAAGGTCCAATAATGTTATTTCGCGATTCTTGATCAAACATGATCGAAAGCATTGATCAAATTATTTTATTAAGTAAAACTACCGAACCGGAAACCGAAAACATAACATTGAGTGAACGGCATGCTGTTGAAATCAATATCTTCTGTTCCGAAACTAATTTATTGTAAAAATATCAATAATTTTGATTAATAAATTATTGGAAATGAATATTGGCATTTTTATTTCACGATCCTTGACCAGATGACCGAAT